ACAGAGAGAGGGAATGATCTCCACTTGTGGACTTGTGTTGTTCTACAGAGAGAGGGAATGATCTCCACTTGTGGACTTGTGTTGTTCTACAGAGAGAGGGAATGATCTCCACTTGTGGACTTGTGTTATTCCACAGAGAAAGGGAATGATCTCCACTTGTGGACTTGTGTTGTTCTACAAAGAGAGGGAATGATCTCTTGTGGACTTGTGTTGTTCTACAGAGAGAGGGAATGATCTCCACTTGTGGACTTGTGTTATTCCACAGAGAGAGGGAATGATCTCCACTTGTGGACTTGTGTTGTTCTACAGAGAGAGGGAATGATCTCCACTTGTGGACTTGTGTTATTCTACAGAGAGAGGGAATGATCTCCACTTGTGGACCAAGTTTGTTTCTATAACATTTTTGCAATACTTGAAAGGAAAAATGCAACAACATGTAATAAAAAAAAAGATCGCTGATTTGTACTGTAAAGTAGGTGAGGGGACAAATTGCGTCTCAGTGTGTTCTCAGCGTCTCGGGAAGGAGGGGGGGGGATGAATCTCACTCGGACGTTGACATTCCGACCAAAAAATAATAAATTATTGAACTACAAAAAACAACCAACATCCATAGCTAAATGTATACTATTTTTTTTTGTAGGAATAAAATATACAGTAAGTTTTAAGTATGTGTTCTATTAGGCTGTTGAAATTGTATCGTTCGTGGTAACATGTGCAGTAAGTTGAAACACGTTATATTATATTAATTAGCCGATGTTATTGTGAGATGATTGGGTTGATTTTGAGGTATGTGATTAAATTTTTGTCTGCTTGATAACATGTAGATTATATTGTTGGTTTTGTTTGTTGCAGATGGTAATGGATCAGCCACTGGCAGTCATTCCTATGACACTTTGACAAACATCTGTTTACCTGCTGACCTATCAACAGTACAGAACAAAAGGTAAACACGTGTTTCACTGTGTGTTAATATCTTGATAATGGTTGATATATGTAACATTAATTAATAACCTTATAGGTTTGAAGGAATTGAAATGTGTTGATAAACATCAAGAGAGATGTTTGATTTACCATTTTTTTCTGTTACCTCATCTCCTCTAAAAGTTGAAAGTTTTAATAATTTGTTACCAGCAATTCTGAGGTATGGAATGTACTCATATCCAGGCGGGCATATTTGTCAATTACGGTCTTTACAACAATGTGACGTTAAAATCCGCTTGTAACCAGCGGAAGTTCGGGTAATAGGTGAAACACCTAATATCAGGGTAACTGGAAGTTCGGGTAATAGGTGCAACACCTAATATCAGGGTAACTGGAAGTTCGGGTAATAGGTGCAACACCTAATAGCAGGGTAACTGGAAGTTCGGGTAATAGGTGCAACACCTAATATCAGGGTAACTGGAAGTTCGGGTAATAGGTGCAACACCTAATAGCAGGGTAACTGGAAATTGTGAAATATTCAAAAGCTTGATTAAAGAATTCGTCTCAACTACTAATATCACCCCTAATGAACAGTATTAGTAACACTGTAAACAGGTCACAAGTTTACAACGAGACGAACTGGAAAAATTCGTTTACTGAACTACTGTTATTTAGGATATTTTAACATATTATATAGTTATAGTTCATAGTTATAGTTATATATTATATAGTTCATCTCTGGTGTTTCGAATTATAAAAATACATACAGAATCCTTGTAAAAACATGTAAATCATACACACGGTACTACCAACTTTAACTGGTACAACACATCACACGGTACACGGTACAACCAACTTTAACTGGTACAGCACATCACACGGTACTACCAACTTTAACTGGTACAACATATCACACAGTACTACCAACTTTAACTGGTACAACACATCACACGGTACTACCAACTTTAACTGGTACAACACATCACACGGTACTACCAACTTTAACTGGTACAACACATCACACGGTACTACCAACTTTAACTGGT